AAAAATATTGCTGAACATTGGTAGCATTCCACCTGCACATGACTATTGAGATAATGTATAGTATATGTATACAGCTGTTGATGGAATTCTCTAACGTACATTTATTTGAGCAAAGAGCTAGATAACTAGATAATGCCAATGACAATTGCATTCATTTCTCACCCAGGCCAATTAACACCGTTGCTGTATTTTTACATCCTTCTAATGGTCTATGTATAGTTTCAGTTTACCTATATATGTCCAATATACTTCTCCCTTCCCAGAGAAGCTACACTATGACCACAATTCAAAACCCAAGCACTGAAGATCTAGCTTATTGCTCATTATTTCCTTACCTGATCTGCTAATGCTGTGGACAGTAAACTCATCAGTTCTTTCTCTGCCACCATTTTCCACATTTGTGACCAGTTGTATTCACGCAACTTTTGGAGATCAAGTAATATCACACCCGTGTTAAAACCTCTACCCTATAGAAAGAAAATACTTACTTCAATTATAATAACCAACGACCTGCTTACTTGACCCGTTCATTCCATAAGCAACTTATGGTGGCATATTAAATATTCACTGGATAAGTGTAATTTTCAATTAATTTTTTTCCACAAAATACCTTGCCAGTGTGAAATTAACCAACTTTATTTCTAGAAATGAAAATTAATAAGCAATTTCCCCATTTGCAAGAAACACATACCCCAAATTATTAAAACCTGACATACAGGTTACATATTTCTTGAGTGTTTTTTGATAGTACTAACCAGGGCCGGCCAGGGATGATGGTTTTTCCACAACTTTCCAAGATACCAGTCACTTTGGTTTTCTACCAAACCAATGGCCTGCAAGTATATATAGATTGCACTTATCAAAATTTTAACCACAGGTTGACAAGTCTGCAAGGAATGAATTTTATTTTCATTAATCTGTCATCATCCCCCCCCCCTCCCTCACACACACACACACACACACACACACACACACACACACACACACACACACACACACACACACACACACACACACACACACACACACACACACACACACACACACACACACACA